TATGTATGTTTTTTATAGTTATTAGCAATTTCATTCATTACTATATAAAATAGCAATGTAAAATTATCATTTTCATAAATCAACATATTCAGTTATATGTATAATCAAACAATATAATTTCTTACTCAGTTAAAATTTATTACTCTTTCAGTCAACATTTTTTTCAATTAGCAACTATCAAACAAGTCGTTAGATTGCATTTAGTATGCATAAAATATTTTATTTTATTGTAATTTAATGTTTGGTCGCCATATAAAATAGTTTATCATAATTTATAATTAGCCTTTTGATAAGCTACTCTAAGATAACTTATCCATAAAACTGGTTTATATATATATATATACACACACACACACACACACGGCGAATGCTCGCACGTTGTGCAAAATACAATTATAAATTTAAATTATATTCTATTAAATATAAAAATGTCATAGTTAACTTTGATATAATAATTATTATACTAATTTAGTATAAAATATTAATTATTTTGAATATATGATCATATTAATTCTATTAAAACAATATATGCTTAATCGTCATTTTAAAAATTACATTTGATTGACTTTTTAATTTCTATGACTGTAGTTATTTAAAACATCAAACATTGTTTTTGTGTTTAAAGGTAACAATATTATTTTTAACTATTATCGTTATAAGTTATTTGTAAGATACCTATTTAGAAATTATTAATGTTTATAAAAATAGTTTAGGAAATATTTTAATTGATTTGTGATTACAATTTTGTTTTTACATTTAACACTATAATTTATAACTTATAACTATTTACAAAATAATCATTGGATTTTCTCTAAGTTTAATTGAAATTTTCATTTAAATTAGTAATTTAACACTGTATCTAAATTAACAATTTAAATATTTTATGCAAATAATTCAAAAGTTGTGATTTTAAACTGACAATTTAAGAAATAACATATCAAAACTAAGTATAAGTAAAATATGTTAATTTAATATTCAAATTTAGTTAATTTTAGGATTACAATTAGCGTTACACCTATTTAACATTATTAACCAATATATAATTATTATTATAAAGAAATTGAAAAGTAATAAGAATTTCAAATACATGCGGTAAAAAGAAAATTATATCTTTCAGATTTACATGAAAATTTTAAAATAATCACGATTTTTACTTAGTTACTTTTTTGAAGCGGTACAAAACAAACGATAATATTTAACATATCTAATTAAATATTATCTACATCACAGTATATAACATATGATCGATAATATCTATTTGATCTAATATATATTAATGATTAAAGCACGACATACAACAATTGTATTAAAAGAATCCAGAACCAAAAAATATATATAAATAATTAATATATAACAAATTTACAAATTAAAAGCTATAACATAATAATATATCTCGAAAAGTGATCATAAGACCTCAAACCAATAAAAAAAACCTTTAAGCTTGTTTCTTAATGAAGTTTGTATGTGATTTGTATGCATGTCTACCCAAAAGATTGATCGGTTTATAGTAAATGTTTCATTAAGTGTTTATTAATTATAATATAAGTTATAAAACCTTTGAGTGGTAAATCATTATTAAGAAGGTTTTTGAATTGTATTAGTTAAAAGATAGAGATTTCAAATGAATGTGGTTTGATCAAAAATGATTTTATATAGTCTTAGGAGTTTCAAATGCATGAGGTTCAAGAAAAAATGTTAGCTTTATAAGATATATATATATATATATATATATATATATATATATATATATATATATATATATATATATATATATATAATATATATATATATATATATATATATATCTTCTTTTCCTAATAAATAAGTATATAATTGCCATGTAGCAATTGCTAAGCCCTCCCCAAACTAATTTTCCCGCTCAAAACGCCTAAGTTAAATTCTACCCTTACAATCCGTTTAGAATCCGTGTGACAATTTCTAAGCCCTCCCCGAACTAATTTTTCCGCTCAAAACGCTAAGTGAAATTCTGCCCTTACAATCCGTGCGAGTTCCTGATTTTTAGCATATTTAAGATTACAAGCAATTCAAATATTCACATTAAATTAGGAAATACCTTAATTTCTATCATACCAGTTATGGCGACGTTGAATTGATATCCCAAAATATCAACAATCAATTTTGAATTCGATAGTAATAAAGGAATCATAATCGTATCCAAAGATAAAATGCCTGAGAGAAGGATTTCCCTTCATATATACCTCTAACCTTGACTTTCAGTCAATCACCCATTTTTAAAGATATAATCCATTTGTGGCAAATAATTGAAGTTCTCTTGCCATTGATTTCAAGTTAATTATCAAACTTCATCTTCTTCCTATTATTTTTTTGGTTTGCATTTTTTTTTGAGAGACGTAAGGATAGTTGCATCTGGTTTTTGATTTTCAGAGTACATCATGTTTATTTTAGTTCTTGGTTGCTGAATTTTATAATTATGTGAATATTGACCTTGCAACTAGGTCATACCAAAACACTCTCATAATTCTGATTTTTCTCTTCTTGATACGACTAATTTATCTGCTTCCTTCTTGATAAAACTGTCCTTGATAATTAGTTTTTTATTCTGCATATCTTTTCTACATTTACTGGTGTATTCGGACAAGGCTATTTATTGTTGATGTGTTTTGGTGGTAATATAATATAAATCCTAATAACCAACTACTTTTTGTTTTGTTTTATTCATGAATCTTAAAAATTAAAAATAATTGGCAATAAATTAGGAACCATTTAAGTTAATGATAATCACACACCACCTGTTTGATGTTATGCTTGAGTAGAACTGTTGTGTTATGCTTGAGTAGAAATGTGACGTAATTTTATTCTTTTGATGTTCATAATTAGTTATTTTTGATGTTCTATAAACGAGATGATTTGAGGATCCATAAGTAAGGAGTGACATTTACCCTATTACATTGATAATTTACATTCATAACTATTTTTGTATGCAGATAGCAAATACACCCCTTCATGTTGTTTTTGGTCATAATAGTGTTGAAATAGTTAAGTTTCACTTGAAAATGGCAGGACGTGAAACTGTTGAGTTTGAAGGGAAGAACATTGTGTGTAAACAATTACGAAAATACAATTAGGTGACTCGCTTAAATCATAAATATAATAACTTCATGTTTTCATAAATATTTTTGTATGCATATAACAATCACACCCCTTCATGTTTTCATATAGAGAATAACATTGTCTGTAAACAATTACGAAAATACATTTAGGTGACTCACTTAAATCATAAATATAATAACTTTCCTTTGGTCTTCAAAACATATATATTGTAATTGCTTGTGTTTTCCAGTTATAAGTTTCTTTATAAGTATGATTCTTTTTTTTCTTATCTTTTGCATTGTTTATTTTTTTAATACGCTCTATCTTGATAATGTTTGGCCACTCCATTGTTATAGAAAGGAATATACACAGGTTGCATTTTTGGTGAAATCCAAATTAAACCTAAGTTGGTTGCTATATGTGAATTTAATTCATCGCTAGAAAATATTGTACATTTAATACAATTTAATCAAATTCAACTTTAATCCAAAGTTGGAAAAAATCCATATGGTTAATACACTGGAAAAAAAACTATTTTTGGATTTCTAACAAAATCTGAAAACATCTGAAACCGGATAAATCGAAAATAACAACAATGTTCAAGTAGAATCCAAAGTTGCAAATAGCATTCCATTTTCGAGTTTAATCCAAAATAGCCACCTGGTTAGAGTTAACAAACTTTAAAAATCTAGAATAAATATAAAAGTCGAGTTTAATCCAAAATTGGTTGCTATTTTTGCATTTTATCTAACACAAACAAAATATGATAAAGGTATGTTGGGAGAGGATGATGACGAAGAAACAAATTTGCTAAAGATAAATAGTGAAAAATTTGTAAAGGCTCAAGGAATATTCTTGCACAAATGGAGTATAATTGTTTAATCATTAAGTATTGTTTCGTATTGTATTGATATGGTGGAGGCGAGAACTCTTATGAAATATCCAAATTTTATCTTCTAAATAGTATATGTTTGAGTTTTCCAATATTATCTTCCAACCATGATTACGTTTTTATAGACTCTGCATTTTCATGTGTTTCTTCATTTTTCTTGGATTTTATCTTTTTACATTTAGGTTAACATTGTACTTTAAAATAAGAGCAAATGACATTTTTTGAAAATATTTGATTGGTCTTTTTGACTTCGGATTATGAAAAGTGTTTTTGACTTCGGATTATGAAAAGTGTTTCTTCATTTTTCTTTGAACTTTGAAAAGATGCAATTTCTAATACGTTATATACAACCATATGATGCTTCATCAACGTGTAAATATTTTGAACGACCTTATTGATTCAAACATATGTGCTCAATTTTGTAGTTTGGCTTTCACATGTGGGTTTGATTTTCTCATTTGCAGCCTGTTATTTCTACAGGCTACACGATACAAACATACCACATCTCTTTGTGTAAATCCCTACTCCTTCCTAATGTCATCGACCCATTCCACAGGTTTCCACAACTTCGTTGCGTTGTTTCTGAATCTGAATCTTATTTTTGTCGAAGTTTGGTGTAATTTTGTAGCTTGATTGCATTGCAGGATACTGAATAAGAAGTTAATTTTGAAAATTATGGTTACTTGCGAATCCGTTAGTTTGTGGTTCTCATTTGTCTGAGCAACACAAAATATTCTTTGGTTCTTTCAACAAAATTTATAGATGATTGACTGTCTATATATATGAGAGAGAGAGAAAAAAAAAATTCTAGGTGATAACAAATGAGACTAGGCTTGAACAAAATAAGAAAACATGGAATTACGACATTAAATAAACCTTTATCCATTATGTAATACAATTTGAGTGAGGTGTTACATTTGCAGTGTATAACTACACTCTTTAATCACACATGAAATAACAAAAACCGATACTAAATATTCGCTATAATCGTCATAATATACCACAAACGATCACGAAAACACCTATGATCGTGTGTGCCAAAACAAACTGTAAACAATTAATCATTATTGATTGATATATTTAGAAAAAAAGAGTGGTCTTTAATCTTTATTACTTGGTTTCAACCTCATGACTTATTTATTTTCTAGAATAGCTCAACTTTTTTCTTTGTCACATCTTGCTTCCATTTTGGCAATTTATAGAAATCCGCTTTCGTCATCCCCAGCACAGACTCAAATTCTTCCACAGAAAGATAAGCCTGAAACATCATCATAAAATTCATCAGCATAAAAGAGCAAGAAAGCTCATGACATGTCCTGTCCTGTCCTGTCCACACTGACAGGACATGACATGAACAAGACTGGACAGTAAATACTGTCCAGTCTAGTCCTATGTGAGGACAGTTAAAATTTGAAAAGTAAGTAAGGAAGTAACCTCTCGTCTCTTAAGGTCGATGCCAGGAACGGGGTTCTCGGACTTAACCCTGACTTGGTCATAGGTGAAAGTGGATGGACTAGATAAAATACCATTTTCGTCCTCCTCGATTTCTACCTTTGGTTCTGAATCATCTTCTTCAGGAACCGGTTCAGGTTCTGCAGGGGGTTCAGGTTCAGGTTCAGGTGCTTCTGTATTTTCAACAAACAACCCGTATAAATACATTGCTGTTATTAAACGGATTTAAAAAAAAAAAAAGTAAATTGAAAATACCGGGTGAGGCGTCAGGAGAGGGTTCATTAACAGGCACATCAGTAAGAACACCTGATAATGCAGCAACTGCAGCTCTTCTCTGTGATCCCCCTCCCCCACTTGATCCTTTTACCGAACTACCACCACCGCCGCCGCCTCCTCCACCTCCTGGTTGGAAAGCCGAGTTCAACGCCGCCAGGGCTGAAGCCCTTTGAGTGTGCCCACCACCTTGATTTCCCTATATTAATAATAAAATCACTAAACTAATCGGTTTGGTTTGGTTTTATAGGGGTGTTATTTACTAATTACCTCTCCAGCATGGCCTGCTCCAAACAGTATTGAAATCTTCTTCTCGAATGAGTTCCCATGAATCTAGTTGCATTCAAAAGCACATGAAATCCAAATTAACATGTGAAATGGGTTTATGGATATAGGTATTAAGTATATGTAGTGTAGGAGAGGAGCATACTAATGGTTTAGAAGGATCCCATGAGAAATATGTTGTGAAGAAACAAGGTTCATTTCCTTCCATTACTTTGTATAATGGCACATGTGGCGACAATCCATCAAGAGATCCGGCCCATTCTATGTATTTCTGAAATTTAAAAAAAAAAAAAAAAAAAAAAAAAGTAAATTGTTTATGCAAAAATGAAATAATATCCGATGCATGTCAAACGTGGTACAACTTGTGTTACCTGGCCAAGGTCAAGAGCATTTTTCTTCTCCCTTGAGTCAACCGCTTGACCAGCCCAAACTAACACCTCAGCATGTGTATCTAATATCAAGATATCCTCTGGCAACAGGTCATCTTGATCAAAGTTGTAAACTTCTTCGATCTTTAATATATAAATAAATAAATAAATAAAACTTGTTTTAGACATTTGTTATTCAAATAAATAAGTGGGATGAGCAAAATGTATCATACCCACCTCAAACTTTCCTGGAAATCCACAAAGCACGGAAAAAATGGTAACAAAAAAACTAGTTAGAGAGATTGAATATTTAAAAGAAAAAAAGTAGAACTGAAGTGGTATTATTATATTTTTCTGAAAATGAAACCTTTAATGAGTGAGAATGCAAACAAGTGAGGATCTCTAAAAGTCTCCAGTGATACTTTGGTGCTAGTGAAACTTTGTTTCCCTCCAAATCCAAGCCAGAAAGTTGAGCTTTCTGTTCCTTCATTTTGGAATTTTGCTTTTACACCATGCTGATCAAAGATAACATAACATAAAGTATTGATTATTGAATTCTTTTTTTTTTTTTTTTGCACATTAATTGTTGTATGAAATATGAATAAATGATACCTTCAAAAAATCAGCAATTTTAGCTGCCCATTCTTGCTGTTCAAAAGTACTCTGAGTTCCTTGCCAGATATATACATGGGAACCAGATTGTATAACAAAGCATTCATATGAATTCAAAGATTCCGGCACCTAAGAAAACACATATTGAAAAACTCCCTCATGAACACCAGAATTATCATCATTCATATCCATATAGTTCACTACAAGAGGATGAAAGAGCATACAAAATCAAGTTGAACAGCTTTATTATTATGCACTGCAGTTCCCAATATCCGGATAATAAAATTAGAATCTGGACTGTAGGTTTCGTCAGTTTGGTCTGCAATGGAGCTTTTATAGCTAGAACTCAATCCGCCCTGAATTCATATCATCATTTATCGTCTAATTCCATAACAGAAGAAAAGGGATTCGATTCGCAAATCAAATGAATGTTTTACGATCGTACCTTGAAAACAACCATCGGCTGGAATATAGCGATAAATTGTGGTGGTTCTTTCTCTTGATAGATACGACCTTGAACAGGTCTCGCCTTCAGTGAATTGAACATCGATGTAGTCAATTTAGCAGCTGTATTCTGATCCTCCTGTTGATTAATTAATACACATCGATTAAGAGTTAAAACGCAATCGCTCAATCGTTTAGTTGATTTCGACAGACGATTTTGTATTTTTGTTTGTTTGATTTACCTCTGTGCTATCCTTTCCAATCCAATAGCAAAGATAAAATTCTTCCTTCTTTTCTCCAGTATGGTAACTGTAAAGGACAATGTAGCAATCGCCACTGTAGAATTTACCGAAGTCCTCATGTGCAACCGCCTTTTTAGCACCGCCGTCGATAGTCCACACCTCAAGTTTTCCGCCTGATTTAAGCAGAGGAGGTACTTCCTCGGCTACCGGAGCATTTTTGTCTTTTCCTTTTGGGCCAACACCTTGTTGCTTCAACAGCGCTATAATCCAAATTCCAAACCCCAATTATAGCTCAATAATCATCCAATCCAATTATAGTAATAAAAAAAATACTCCACAATGATGAATGAAAGTAGGTTGTTATTTACCTGTTACTTTTCCTCTATTCTCTGCTTGAGGTGCAGCTGCCGATGGCCATGACTCAAAATTAGTCTTGAATGCAACCGTCTCATAACCTTGAATTAACCGGGTTACAAGGGTGGATTTTGGTCGACCATGAGCAGTGATATACTCCTACAAATGGACCTTAATGGTGAGAATAATCAGTCAAAAGGGTAAAAATGTAATTAACCAAATCCTACCTCAGCACCCTGCATCGCAGCTTTTCTACCGTCAACTTGTGTTGCTCTACCAACCCACACGAAAACCTCCGCCCCACAGTCCATTAGATAACATTTGTCGTTTTCCAGGGTCGATTTCGTAAATCCTGTAATTTCATCCTTCACCTCTGATCCACCAATGCTACCCAAAAAAAAAAAAAAAAAAAAAAAAAAATTAGAATTATGTAAAATATAATTTGTCAGATAAAGATTAAAGAAAACCAAAAGGAGATTCGTACTTAAAAAGTTTGCCAGGTGTCCTGTCTAGAACTATATCATCATCACCAAGAACCTTCTTTCCAATAGGAGCAAACCCTCCAAAGATAACCCAAAATTCACCCGAATCACCTTCCGCTTGTAGTTTCCCATCATCTGAAATGATTTATAAAAACAAAATGATAAATGTAAATCTAATTGACTAATCATGTGCTTTAAATGTATATCCCATACCAACAATTGCAACATTGCATGTTCCCTCATGATAAGTGTCCTTCAAATACTGAATAACCTCTAAAGCTTTAGCTCTTTCTTGAATATTCGAGTTTGCTCCATTGAATTGAAAGATCTTCTCTTTAGTATCCAAGATAAACACATCATCATGATTCAACAAAGATCGAGAGAATTGAATCTGTTTCACATGAACAACTCTTTTCCCTTTGCATATATACAATCTTGTTTCGAATTCCATTTCTTCGGGTTTCTTGAATCCAGTTGCAACACCACCTTCAAGTGGCACAATACATGGTTTGAAATATGACAAGAATTTATCAGATTCATGACTTTGAATCTCTCTATGTTGCACTGCACGCCCTCCAAGAATCGCATCAAGCTCAACTGTTTTTATTGCAGCTGTTCCAGCTTCATCCTGATTATCACATTTAGTTAATTTGAATTGAACTTTTCTTTAGAAAAAAATAATAAGAAAGTGTTATTTAATTTGGGATGTAGGATGTTATACATTGCTTGTATCTTTTCCCAACCAGAAGTGTATGTCGTACCCATAAGCACCTCCTCTTCCATTAGAAGTCTGCAAATACATAAAAAAAAAATAACAATAAAATTATAGAACTAAGATAGGAATACACAAGAAAGGATGATGTGAAAGATTATGAACAAACCCGCAAAACAACGTATGAATCACCCATGTAGAATCTACCATAATCTGATTTTGGCAAAGGAACTGGTTGAAAGTTTTCAATTCTCCATATCTCAAGCCCTCTACAAGGTGTTAAGTGAAAAACTAACAACAAATGAAAACGAATCATACATGCATATAACGACTGAATTTCTAATGTTCTCGAAAGTAGATGATGATGATGATGATAAAAGAAATTGATGTTGGGTAAGGATACGGTTTAGAACCAACTCCCTGGAATGCAGGTTCAAGAGCTTTTGCAGTAGCCATGGTGCTTCTAATTTCTTCAAATGATGAGGGAAGAAAATACCATCAAAATTCTCACTGTGTAGTCTCTATATGTAAGATTTTGAGAAAGGAAGATTAGATTAGAACAATCCTCACTAAAAAATAGAGAGAATCAAAATCAGCTTAAGCAAACATCTCATCATCCCTAACCTCTGAAAATTAATTTATTTAGAAGATGATCTTAAGAATTAGGGAGATTCGGATCGTGATATTGAGAAATCGAAATTAGATCACAATAATAACAATATAAACTCGCAACGAATTAATAAACGAGAGACAAATCAAGTACTAACAGAGGGTAGGTTAATCAACGACAACGTACCTGGGATTCGATCGCTATAATAATTGTCTCCAAAAACGAATTTTGGAGAGACGGATATGAAATTGAAAGCAAAAAGCAAATAAGTAATGGATTTTAAGGAATTATGGTTGCAGAGAAATGGAGATATGAAGAAGGCATTTCGTTTTAGAGAGGAATGAATGATGATGATAGGGAAGGGAGTCTCGTTGAGAAAGATGTTGAAATTAAGGGAAAAACCGGATGGCCATGCATTGTTTTCGTTTCAATTTCCCTCTGTTTTTGGTTCCATGAATTTTTTCTATTGCATCTGCATTTGCCATTTGTAGATCGATAATTGCTTCATCGTCCCGGGGTTATTGGCAAAGAATAACGAAAAGGGCGCCATGCCAAAGAAGTTGAAGCTCCTGGTTGATTGGTGGTTTCGAAATTATTGCATTATATAATGTCCAAAATGATACAACTATCGCAAACGTAATTAAAACAATTTATTAATGAAACGTACTTTTTAATTCCTGATAAAAAAATTACAGTTTTTTTTAGCAAATTACACAAATGGTCCCTATGGTTTGGTGTTTGTTACGCGCCTTGTCCCTAACTCCATTTGTTAACTCTGTCAATCCTTGATAGTTTGCTTTATTACAAGCCTGGTCCCTCATCTAACCCGCCGTTTGATTTTGGAGTTAAAAACCCCACATGCCTTGCACATTGGGGGTTATTTCTATCATTTTACTTATTCATCCCCTTCAAAAACCCTAGATCGATCATTAGAAGCATCACCCTTTTCTTCCCCTATGTTTGTTTTTCTTAGTTCATCTCTCATTTCTTTAATGGACAAAAAATCAACAATGAAGAAATGTAATTGCGGCCAACCAAGTGTTATACTGACATCATGGACTGACGACAACCCCAGAAGGAAGTTTTATGGCTGCACAAAGAAGGTAAGGTCGTTTTAATTCTAACTTAAGCTTTTGTGTGATAATAACCGTAAATATGTTGGATTTGAACTTGATAGAGACCTAAATATAAGTTTATTGGATGGGTTGATAAGGAAGGATGTGGACGATGTACTACGATAATTCTAGGGTTGTTGAAGGCTAAGAACAAAGTTGAAGCTGAGAATCGGCTGCTGAAGATGATCATTATTTTAAGTTGGGTGTTCATAGGAATCATTATTTACAAGTTGTAGTGCTTCAGAAGATCCAATTAGTATGTTATGTAGGATGTTTATGTCTTTTTGGAACTTATTTTGACTTCTATGATCCATGTAGTTGGTTGTTGTATATGAATTTGAAGTGTTTCTGGAATGTATTATGATTAAGTGTTTGGGAATTTGGTAATATATTTGCTAATATTTCGTCAAAAACTGATGGTGAATTTGGTAACAAAATTAAACACTTACAGTTGATTATATTTGGTCAAAAACTTATGGTGAATTTGGTAACAACATTGGACATAAACAACCAATAACATATGCTAAAAAAACAATAAATAACACAAGTGGGATTTAATAAAGGGTAATTTAGTTTCCATAACATAGTTTCATACATCACCAAAATGATTAACCAAAAGAAACACAATTTATCAAAAGTATTAACCATAAGGACACAGTTTAACCAAAAGAACTGATTAACCAACAAAACATACTTTCACTAATGGATCAAGTCCCTTTCCCTCAACCAGCTATTCCTTTTCCCTTACCAAAACCACCAGGAGCACCAGGACCACTAGATCTTTGTCCTTTACAACTCCTTGCGTTATGACCAATGTTGTTGCACTTTGAACAAGTGATCAACTTTGGTATTGTTCCAGTACAAACCCATCTCACTCTATTCTTATCATTTTTTCAAGGACCAACTCCCTTCTAGTCTCTATGGCATAGAGTTTTACCTTATCCTTAAACTCCTTTGTTGGACCAATTTTTTGAAAAATAGAGAAGGGTTCACTAACAAGAGCTTCATCATTCTCATGTGCCCTTTGAATTGCTCTTATTGACTTTTTCTTTGACCATTAATCCCCTCATTTGATGATGAATCAGATACTAAAAAGTCAGTGTTAATCACCTCTAAAGCTTCATCATGTATGCCTTCACCAACCATAGTGTTAGACGAACCTCCAACCCATTCCACATCTTTATCGATATTCATTTCAAAGTCTTGCATATCCACATTAATATCATCCAACATATTGTTAATGTCCACAAAAAAAAATCACTATCATCACTTTCATCATTGTCACTCTCTAAGTCACCAAACTTACCAAAACCAAGTCATTCTCCATATGATCAGTGAGAGTAGCATCATTACCCAAATCCTTCTCCATATGATCAGTGGGTATAGGATCATTACCCGATTCCTTCTCCATGTGATCCATGTCATTCTCCAAGTCAACAGCAGGTGTGTTATACTACTCCGGGAACAGTCTCTTTGAACAAGATGGAGGTTCGGTAATCTCCGTAATATGAACTTTACTATGGGTTGGGGACGTTAAATATTTGTGCAAAGTAGTTTTGTCATGCTCTATATATACGTCAACTAACTTATGCTTAGCCACAAAGTCCCCAAATAACGAACATCTCCTTTACTTGCTAAAGCGAATAACCCAAAATCTAAATCGCCAAAAGGCCTTTGAAAGTGATAGTAAAGTGGTTTACCTACTGAAGTATACCCTAGGTCTTCTATCATCTTATCAATGTCATGAACGGAAAAGGTATCAATGTCTAGTAAATCAACAAATGTTTGCTTCCCACAAATATACTTCCTTCCAGGAAAGCTTGTAAACTCACCTCCATGGTGCATTCTTATTGAAAACACTGTCGGATGTCCAGTTGTAGATGAGAGAAAATCGTTTTTAGCTAACAAAATTAACTTTTAACAGTTAATATCATTCAAGCGAAAGTCAATCAAACATACCATAAGTTTGAACAACGTCGATTTCATCCATTCACTACGAATGCCCCCAATAAACCATTGCAGTTCTTTGTTCTTGCACTCGTCACTCCTAGGGTTTTCATGTAAGGATTTTGCACATAACTGTGTTTTTTTGGTATACGAGTGTGTTGTACAATGTAGAGTATGATCGTGTAATTGAACGCATCGATTTCTTAAACTGGCGGTAGTCTGAATAAGTAAAATGACAGAAATACCCCCAACGTGCAAGGCACGTGGGGGTTTTAACTCCAAAATCAAACGGCATGTTAGATGAGGGACCAAGCGTGTAAAAATATTAAACTATTAAGATTGGCAGGGTTAAAAATGGAGTTAAGGACTAGGCGCGTAACAAACACCAAACTATAAGGACCATTCATGTAATTTGTGCTTTTTTTCTTATACTAGTAATGTGATCATTTATCAAATAGTAATTAATCACTAGTTGTTACATTTAGGAATGATCGATCTTGAATAGGTCCAGAAGAAAGTTTGTCCGATTTGGGTATAATCCATTTGATCTCGTGCTACCCTTTTTTCTGAACTAATTAATTAAATAAGTTATTACTTTATTATAATAATTTTTGTAATAACTATAAAATATTAAAAATTTTAAATATCTTAGAGTGAAGGATGTGGTGTGCCACCATTACCACACCGCACACCGCACCTCATTTTGCTACTAATAAAATCATACATGATGTATATAAATTTTGCAATGAAGAAAAACGAGAGAGAAATAATAGAGATGGAAAGATACAGGAAGAGTAAGAGAGAGAGGAGCACGACAAGGTATTGCCATTTTTTTCTTGTCATGTGTGACAACCCGATATTTCAACTCTATGTAACGACCTAAAAAGTCAAGTATTGTAACCATTTTTGTTATAATGAAATTAACTTCGAAAATAAAATGTCCAAAAGTCTCTAATTAATTACCTACTATGTTAGATGTCATTAAACCGTGATCGTACATAAAAAGAATGCCCAAATCTGACTTCGTATAAGGAAGTTATGAATTTTCCAAGTTCGGCTTAGCAACGGACAGCTAAAAACTCGAAACAGAGATCGAGCGACTTTTGACCGGAATGACCTAAATGAGAATCGAAGGTCTCGACAATGGTTTTTTCAACGGTAAAAAGTCTGGCAAAAACAGACGTCAGATAATGAAGTTATGAATTTCTAACGAAATTTTCTTACCGCGACCTTTTAAAAATAAATAATAAAAATATTTTCAAAATTTGCTGACGGAATCTAAACGAAAGTTGTAGAGCGTAGTCTCTCCTATGCGTGGATATAAAGAACGTCGAAAACGGAGTTCGTATGAAGCATATATGAATTTTTGAAGTTTATTAAATAATAAAAATATAAATTTTATATTTAATTTCGGTATTATCTGAAGGGTGAGTCACCAGGCCGATCCGAGTTACGCCCAGTGTACACTCGTACGCCCAGCGTACTCGAGGCCTAGGCCTCGGATCGTCCACGTCGCCCCTATGCGAGGCTACGCCCCGTCCCATCCGAAGGTCCGAGGCAGTCGAGGAAGCGGTCACGCATGACGCACGCGTACCGAGGCGGTTCCCACCCCATATAAAAGGGATGCGAGGGTTCCGAAGAAAAGGCTCAATTCCTCTCATCTTTCTTGCGTTTTTGCCTTGTTTTCCATGCACGTGCTATCCTGAAGCCCCGGTTTCCTTGCTCAAGTGCCGAAAGTCGTTTGTGCTCCCGAGATTCCCGAGAATCCCGAGAAAATCTGCTTTCTCGAGTCGAAATTCTGCTCGGTTTTCATCTCGCCTTCTTCAATCTTTCAAGTGAGTTTATACCCCTATAATCCACACTTTAAATGTTTTATAAATGCTTTTATATGCTTTTAGGGGGGTGGAATACAAGTAAAGCACACGATTATTACCGTGTGTTATATAAAGTTTCATTATACACTTTTTATCAACGGAATCATATGTGATTTATAACTATTATAGGGAAATCTTTCGTATGCAAAATATACCACGATAACATCTTATCTTTGAAATAAGAAATGATTTATGTATATATGTAAATCAAACACTCTGCTTATACTATATATATATATATACATATATATGTGTGTGTGTGTGTGTGTGTGTGTCCATCTTTGGCACTACAAAAATTATACTTTTCATAACAAGTGAGCATTTCACTAGGGATTACTATACAAACGAAACAAACTTTTAGAAAACTATAGTAGGTATAGTTTTACGAGAACATTACGAACTTTTACATACTAGAAATACTATTTCAAGAAGTTACTTTCATATATAAGAACAAATGAACATTCTCACACGTAAATCTGTTTTATACTAAGTTTTGTGAGACATTAAACTTCAGGTACGCTCGAGTACACATTTCAAGTCCTGTATTATATACCAGAATCCCTTGAAGGGGGAGCATGGTGTTTATGTATAGATCTATACGGGATTGACAACCCCGCGCCCTGACTGTTAGCTACAGTACACCATTTGGGGTGACAAACGTCAGAACATTCCAACGCCCGAAGAACATTGTGTATAGGCATTTCTAGTCAAATAGCATGGTTATAAAACTCTCATGGAGTATCAAAAACACATTGATTTACGGGGTTTTTCAGATGTATTGGCAATTTTATACGTACATTAACTAACTACTTAAGGCATGAAAAAACTTATTGTGATACAATTTTGGAACTTCTAAACCACTACCCACATACGGAAAAACATAAATTTTCTAGAAACAAACATTGGTCTTGCTAGAAGGCTACATTTATACTAGTAGAGGATATGGGATTATCTAGGAACCAACAAACAAAAACAAACCATTTCATTTTAGTTCATGCAAATATTGTCATTTAATACTTATGAAACTCACCAGCTTATATGCTGATATACTCTTTCAAAACTACTTGTATGTCCCAGGAATTCTGTAATTGCTGGTAACAAACAACTCTTGAAGAAGGGACGTTGCGGTGCTAGTTTAAATTCATATTTTGGCATCATATTGTAATTGGTTTTGAACGTGTACTTTTTAAACAATGTAAACTTTCAATTATATATATGATGGTTATGTTGCTTTCTTTACTATGTATTCAATTGTTACGTTACCACATGAAGTCATCCGCCCCTGAACGTTTCCTCCGTTCCGGTTTGGGGGTGTGACAGATTAGTATCAGAGCATTGTTTATAGTGAACTAAGTATATCGGACCTCATAAGATATACAAACTATAAATGCTTAAGGACTCAAAGTCTATGACAAGTTTTTACACCTAAAACCCTGTTTATTTATATAGATTATTTTGGGTCATAAAAATACAAAATACATGCATACAACGATATATTTTCATAGTTAGAACTATACAAAAAGTATTAAGATGAGTTGGACACTACGATTAGTTCTCGATATATGTAATCGAATTTGGGACGAATATAGCCTGATCAACTATATTTATCCGAGATTGGACTAACGTATGTCGAGGAATGATCACAGTGAGCAACAAGTCAAAACTTACCAAAATAGACACTAGTATCAAACATACAAATTTAAATCCTATAGGAGTGTTTGGTGCATACAATAGTTTAATCGACATGTTTATTGTTACATGTTTTCGAAATTTTATTCAAATCTTATAACCTTATTCTTGTATAGTCAAATGGTTGGATTCCACCCACCAGGGGACCCCTACTACCCGAACCATGGCAATGGAGGATGGGTAGAGGAAGATCCCAAAGAGGATGAAGAACCTATCGAGTTGGAAGAAGGGGATGAATCTGGTACGGACTCAAAACCAGAAATAGTCGACCCTCCAGCTATTAGGAGGAACTTCCAGGGACCGACTCCCGTTTGGGGAAGTCACCTACACCATTGGAGTCAACAACAAGGGATATGCTCTCCCTACGGTATGTGTCGGAACTTCTACGACATCAGGGATGGAGGTTCAGCCGACCGAGCACTCCCGATCATGGTAGGTAAATTGGAAAACCAGTCCTATCAATCGGGGGTCCAAGCAAATCGAATTCGCGAAGTCAACGTAGAAGTACAAGTTCACACTTCCGACATCCGTCAACTGAATATGTTGCAGGATGACACCCATCTCCGCACCGATGCATTCCAAACACAAATGATTGTAGCCCTCGCAGAGTTGAGGGAACAGCAAGCCGCCTTCGATAGGCGTCTTATGGAATCAAAGCAATCGGATGCGGAGTCAAGCACCAAGCGCAACCCACGTCGCAAGTAGTGCTTGCCAAAATCCCAAATTTTGTTATAAGTTAGGACCTCGGCTAAAAGTTTTATTTTCTTAAACCTTGTAACCGGAGACCCTTTTAGGGGTCAAATTTTCGTGATCGTGGTATCATCTATTATATTAATATAATTGGCACGCTATTACTACTACGTTGAGTATTTCGTTCAATCTTTAAAATATTATGGAAAAACCATACGCTTGTTTCATATATTCGGATTTACGAATAACTTTCATTCTTCTATCTTTGAGACTCATACGATCATCTGTTGTTGAACTATACCGATTTAGTTCATGAGACACATTCATTTTCTATACCATGGAATTCTTACCTTTGTCTTTTCAATCTATAGTTGAAGGATGCCTCCGCGTAGAAATCCGAGACGAAAAAACGGTGGGGAAGCACCGATACCACCACCGCCTCCACCTCCTCATTTTGATGTTGTCATGTTCCAAGTAGCAGTCACCGCAGCTGTAGCGGTTTCCATGTCACAGATCAATAACCCTGTTACTACTGGTTCAGGAATTGGCACACTTCCTTCCAACCATGTCGAGAGTCATGGGCAACCCCGAGAGTGCACCTATAAAGAATTTACGAAGGCTAAACCCTGGATGTTTAATGGAAAT